GGTCTTGTGACCTTGTGCTTGCACTTTGGCGCATGTGTCTGAACACGGGAGCATGTGTGCATCTACCATGTTAACAAATCTCCCTCAGTCCCCTCCCACTGTGGCCATCTCTAGTCTATTCCTCTTCTGCTGAGCAGAGAATTGTGTCCCCTGGTCTGTTAATTTGGGGTTTAAGAGTCAGCTCTGAAGAGCTGAGTGAGGCAAATCTGCCCCTGAGAGCACTAATCCAAGTAGCAAGTTACTAGGTTTGAAGACATACACATATAATTTACATTTCCACAATCATAGCACGCAGCCTGAGGAGTCATCTGGTCATGGGCAGTGTCTTAGCCATGCCATCTGCCAGGTCAGATTGAGATTTCTCTGTGATCTGACTTGGCAGAATGCTTTTGCCAGTAAATACGTGATAAGCAGGGGAGTGTAGTGCTCTCATAATAGCTCTTGCTCACCATGGACTTTTCCCTGCATCTCATGGGGTTATTTTAGCCGTAGCTCATTGAACTCGTAAGTATCAGGCACTGTACTAAAAGGGTCCCTCTACCTAAGAGAGAGTAGAAAAGAGATCTTCATTTTACAGGGGAGAAACAGATGAACAGAGAGGTTTGGTAACTTGTATGAGGTGGTGCAGCTGATAATTGATTCAGGAGACTGGCTGGTTCTGCAGGTTGTTGCAGCAGGAGAGGAGTGTGGTTGACACTCACCAACAGGCACAGGCAGAGAATGCAGGCTGCTTTAAGGTAGCTGTTGGGTGTGGTTTACCACCCACATCGGCCTCTACAAAGAGCAGTGACACACAGTCGTAGTCCCATTGGAGAGTGTCTCCCCAGCCCTCAGGTCCCTTTGAAGGTCCTTCTGCTGCCGATTATAGTGCCAAGTTGAGGTGTGCCTCCTGCCACACCTGAGATGCTCCATCTGCCCTTCAGGTGTTTTCTTAAACCCTTTTGATCCCTCCCAACTGATATGGAACCTCAGAGCCCAAGGTTCAAGATCTGGTCAAGGACCTGGTAGCAACTCCTTTTCTTCTAAATACAGCAATGAGCCAGAAGACATTGAAGTTTAACTTGGGGCAGGACCTTATCAGTGATTCCAATCTTCTCATTACCAGTTGGCAAAACTGAGGCCCAGCAAGAGGAGGACATAGTCCCAGGCCACCCAGCAGTACAGTGACACAATGAGGACAAGCCTGGGTCTCTGTTTCACAGCCAGAGCTCTTTCTAGTTTGCCTTGCTGCGTCAGGCTGCTTGCTACAGAGGCTCACCGGTCAGGGGAGCCACTAGCTCTGTAAATTGAATGGCTGGGTGCATCTAACCGGTTGCGAGGACCACACTGTTCTCCCAGATGGTCTGAGCCTCAGGGATCAGGGTGGCGATGGCGAGTGAGTGTGGAAAGCTCGTGGAAGGATCATCAGGGCGAAAAAGCGTTGGCCAGCTCTCTTCAGGAATTAACCCCTCCGTTTAGTTGCACCCCCGTTTTTTTTTTTTTTAGTGACACCTTTTTAAAATAAGCAAGTAATTGTTCGTTAAAAAGAAAAAAGAAAGGAGACAAGAAGGCAATAAGAAAGTAGAAGCCAGCTTCCTAGACCATCCCCTCCTCCTCCTCACCTTTCCAGAATCACACACACGGTTTAGTCAAAGAGCAATGGATGGAGCCCTTCCCACTGGGTTCTAATTGCCCCTGCACTGAGACCGTTACTCCGAGAGCCTGCTTAAATGTGGAAGGTGCTGACTCAGGAATCTCGTGTTTCTTCAGTTTTGCCAGAAAAATAAAAAAGGCAGCAGGGGATGATGGTATTCTTGCTCTCCAGGACCCAATGAAAGCCCTTATTTACCCCCCAAAAGAGCCAATAGCAGAGGTTCTGGAATGGCCTAAGCTTGAGTGGCCATCAGATTTTCTGGTCTCCTAGGCATGTGATGGGGAAACTGACGTACAGAGGGGAAGAGGCTTGCCCAGGGCTGGCCGCCTGTGTCTGGGCTCTACCCTGTCTGTCCCTTCCACCTCAGATTTCCAGGGTCCCCTTCTGTACTGTATTGGTGTCAGGAGGCGCATGGGAGACTCAGTGACCTCCCAGGCCCTCTGCGGCGCCAGCTCTCTATGGTGTTCTCATTGAAGGCATTAACCTCCTCTCCCTTCTCAAGGTTGCCGCTTGCCTATTTATAGAACTGACCAAGAGAATGCCACTATTGCCAGCGATACAGAATACAAATCATGCACTGTGCGTTGGTTTTCATTCTCTCAGACACCTTTTTTTTTTTTAACTCCTCCTTGGGCAATGCTTTTCTACACTTGGTTTCCCTTCTCACTGCAGACACTCCAGGAAGGAGAGGGGAGTGGGCTCTCCTGCATGTTGAGCCCCCACTGTGTGCAAAGGCTCAGACTCCATGTGCAGTTTCCTTCAACCTATGCAACCCCTAGAGCTGGGCATTGTCCCCATCGCATGTGTGCTGCTTTGATAGAGGAAGCAGCTGGCCCCAGGACTCCCGACCAACCAGTGACAGAGGCACCTTACGTCCAGGTCTGCCCAAATCTACAACATTCGTTCTTTCTACCTGCCTTCCCCTTTTCCTGATTCTAGCATGGCCTTCCAGATCAGATGAGGGAGGTGGCTGCAGGATGATGCCTGTGCACATTATGGTTTCTTTGGAGGCCACATACGTGCTTTCTCACTCAATCAGGTCAATCAGGTTTTTATGAGGACCTACTGTGCACCTGGTGAAGCCTTGTCTCTCTCCAGGCTGCAGGTGGCATGAAGATATACCCACGTTGCTCTCTCCAGGCCAGCACACAGTAGGCCCAGTCAGCCCTTATTGAATGAATGATGGGCCTCAGACTCACAGTCTGCCCCCAGGAAGGGAGCAGGGAAGAGGCAGGCCAGTTGGAGCAGCTTCAAAGCTTCAAGAAGTGCTGTTATGGAGGAGGGGGCAGTGGGCAGGGAATAGGGGTCAGGAAGACCACCCAGAGGCCGCAGTGGCTTCTGCTGATGCTGCTCATGCCCCAAGTGCCGGCAGAAGCCCACTTGGTCTCCAGCTGACTCCATCCTGCATCTCAGACTTCACAGAGGTTTTATTTTCCCAGCTGTTCTGTCAGGGGAGTCCCAGAGCATACTAAAAGAACAGTGTAAATCTTTCTCTGCTCATCTTCTCAGAAATCTTTTTTAAAAGCAGGATTTTGGAGAGCTGCCAGCCTCTTATCCCTCCACCAGAGACTGGCATTTAGCTGTGGAAGTGTGGGGCCCTCCCAGCTCTCCCTTCCTGCTCTGGGAGAGGTTCAGATGTTAGAGTGTCCAGTCCTGTGGCTGAGTGTCCTCGTCCGGCAGCCCTGCCCAGCCAGGGCTCCCCACTGTCCTTGAAAGCTCCGCCCTTGGCCCCTTTCATCTGTCGAGAGAGACAGAGAGGGAACCAAGGAGTCAGTAGAATCCAGTGCTCCGCAGATGCAGGCAAGCTTGAGGGGACCAAAGAGCTAAGTGCTACCCTCCCCTTTTAGGTATATTGCTGTTTTCTGGTAGTGAACATAATATACCTCCATTCTGGAACATTTGGAAAATACTGAGAAGCAGGAAGGACAAAATAATAATCACCCATAATCCTGCCACCCAGGGAGAAGCGCTGCAGGCATCCTGGCACATTACTCCTCAGTTTCATTTTCTTTTCTTCCCAGTGTGATTTTTTTTCTCTTAACTGAGATCATACTGTAAGATGTGATTTAGTTGCTTTTGACCCCACTTAACATTCAAATATATCACACATTCATGGCATTACTAATGCTTTGGAATGATTGTAAAATGTGATTCTAACAGCAGCATGAACTTTGACACGTGCAGGTATTATATCACTGACCCTAAAGCCCTCGGTTTCGGGGTGCGTTTGCTGGTAATCCCAGTGCTAAGTGACCGTCTGCCGGAAGATGCGGCTTCATTTCACTACAGGTGCATCATGGGAAAGCAATATGGCCGCCCTCAGGGCACGGAGTGTGGGGTCACCTCTCCCTCTGGCTGTATCATTTCCAGGCTGGAAACTGTTGAGCAAAGGTGGTATCTACACTGAAAATTAGTTGCTGTGCCCAAGAAACCCCTTACTAGCTGTGTGGGCAGGTCATTTCCCTCCTTTTCTTCAGCCGAGTCATGGAACCCCTCCCCCACAAGATCGGATTCCGTGAGGATTTCAGGAGATAAAGCAGGTCAGGTACAGAGCAGAGTGTCTCATACATACAGCCATTTATAATTGTTAAGCTACCATGGTTACCAGGATTTTTATCTCTTGACTCTCTTGTCTAGTATTTTATCAGGGTCACCAAGGCCACCCCTAGGCTCCATAAGGGCTCACGTATTCAGCGTACGGTTGTACTCGCGGCTAAGGGAAAGGATACACAGCACAGTGAGCACGGGGAACAGCACGCGGGGCCAAGTCTGGAGGAAACCAGGCACAAGCTTCGGAGTCCTCCCCCTGTGCAGCGCACAGGGTGAGCTTGATTCCTCCGGCTCTGAGTTATGGCAACGCATGTGAAGTCTTGTCTACCAGGGATGCTGGTTAGAGACTCACTGCCAGGGGTCTTTAACTGGTGCTAGTCAGGTAGGCATCTCTGCCTATACCCACATTGCAGATCCCCCCCCGCCCCGGTTTGCACAAATAGTCCATGGTGAGCCACCCTTATCAATTCAAGAATGGTGAGAATACTCAGAATCCAAGCTCCCAGAGGCTAGTCCAGCAGGCCTTCATAAGAATGCAGTTGTGAGCCTGCTCTGTTAGCTCTTTTCTGCACGGGTATGCTAAGAGGTCCTATTTCTTGTGTTTGGACCACTTCAGGATTGGAGAGGTGGGGTGCTGGGACAGATGTCCTCACTTCCACAGGACAAACCTGAGGGCCAGTAGAGGGAAGAGACCTAGGACCTGGTCTCCTCCTCCATGTGCGGGGTCCTGAGAAGAGGCAAGTTCTGGATAATAGGAGTGTGTCCATCATTGTGCCCTTCCCTGCTAACTTGTGCATCTGTCTTTCTGTCTCTCTAGGCCCTCAAGGGCTCCAAGAAGCTGATGCTGTCTGTGTACTCAGCGGGGCGCATCCCTGGCGGCTACGTCACCAACCACATCTACACCTGGGTGGACCCTCAGGGCCGCAGCATCTCCCCGCCCTCAGGCCTGCCCCAGCCCCATGGCAGCACCCTGCGGCAGCACGAGGGTGATCGGAGAAGCACCCTACACCTCCTGCAAGGCGGGGATGAGAAAAAGGTGAGTTGCCCGGCCTTGGCCAAACCAGGCCTCCTGGAGGTGGAGGGCTGGCACAGGTGGAAGGCTGCCCCCCCACCCCATTCTCCTTGCCAAACCCAGAACAGAGAAGCTTCTTAGATGCTGGAAGAAGGAGCTTGGTTCTATTGGGGCTCTGGCCCTCCCCTCTCCCTCAGGTCCCTACTGAAGGGTTTACTTTGCTTTTCCTTTTGACCTGTGCAGCATATATCACAGTGCAGGCTAAGCTGCTCCAACGGAAGAGTCCAAATACTATAATTAATTAATATAATGGAGGTACTGGGAATTGAACCCAGGACTGCACTGAGCTATACCCACCACGCCACACCTCCCTATATTGTGATTTAAATAAGCTACGTTTCCCTTGCTCCTCACATAGCAGAGTAAAAGGGACTGTCTAAGCTGGTGGGGCTGGTCTGCTCTCCATCTGCCATCCTCTGGGATACCGCCCCCTTATGCTTGAAGCCTAGTCCCCATCCAGCCTTTCAAGCAGAAAGGGGGACAGAGAAATCTCAGATGATTTACACTAGAGATGATTTAACTTCTCAGTGGTCCAGACCCAGGCACATGGCCAAACGCAGCTGCCAGGACTCCCAGGTCCACAGGGAACCTTTTGCTATGTGGGTCTCAGGTTCTAAGGAACAGAAATGAGAAACAGGTCTTGGTCATTTTCCACAAAGTCAGAATTTACAAGGGTGTAGGCAGCTCCAGAATTGAAGCTGGGGAACTCAGGGTGCAGCCTCCAGGAGGAAAGGGATCCCACCATTTTTATTCTCTGCATCCTTCCCCTCAAGATTCATGTTCCAAGGAAGCACCTGATTGGCTGGTGGAGAGGTGCACTTTGATTGACAGAAACACCACAACTGTGGCCAGTCTGGGAGGGGTTGTAGCCCAAAGCACTATGGTGTGTTATAACCTGAAGAAGAGGGCCAGGGGCATCAGTAGATGCCCCCTCCAGAGGTTTCCTCCCCAAGACCATGACTGTTTCTTTAAAAAAAATTTAGGAAAGAATGAGATGGTTCCCCTGATGTTTTAAGGTTCACTCCGTGCTGTTTGCATTGAGCCCTACGGTTGCTCCTGGGACCAGGAAAGTAATTCCTGCGAGCAGCTCTCTGGTGTTTTAAGACCTTGACACAGCTTGGGGCTTTGAGCCTCTGGAGACTCTTTCTCAGCTCTTCTTTCCTGTCGATAAGACCATAACATTTATTTAATGTGTTTTGTGTTCTTTGCTCAAATGTCAATACTCAGGAAGTGGCAGTGAATTCTGTGCCAGGCGAGAGGCGGCGGGGTAGCTGGTTAGTATGCACCGTCAGAGCCTGCCTGGGCGTCTTCGAGGTGGCCAGGGCTGACTGGTGGCAGAGGTGGGCTCGAACCCCCCACCCCACCAGGCGATGTTGCTCTCTGACAATCTTGAGAGAGCAGCACAGCCTGTGGCACTGGGTCATTTTCAAGGCCAGCCTTCCAGGGTTGGTCAGAGAACTGGCTTTATCTTTTTCTCAAGCCATTCCCTGTGTAGGGCATGATCTTAGAGTAGTAATTATAGCCAATGAAGAGCTGGCCATGTGCTGGCTTTGTGCTTACAGCATCTTTCTGAATCCTCGTGACTGACCTGTGGGGTAGGTGTCCTTACCCACATTTTACAGATGCAAAATTAGAGACTCAGAAGGCACTGCGGCACGTAGGACTCATTGAGTGAGCCAGTCCATACCGGGTGAGCACCCGTGGTGTGCCTGACGCTGTTTCGGGAGGTGGGAATAGAGAAATGGATAAGAGACATGAGGCCCTGCTCTGGGGAGGCTTCCAAGTGAGCTTGGAGATCGTAGGAGGAATGTGACAATAATCCAGAAATGAGCATAATTGAGCCAGATAAGGTGGTGAAGATTGATGGAAGGAAATAAAATCAGGAGCAAGGATAGAGAGTGATGGGCAGGGAGGCGCTGCTGCAGTTGAGGTGGGCAGGGAGGGCCTCTGCGGTGACGACTTCTGAGCCGAGACCCAGAGAGGAAGATGGAGCTGCCATGTAGCGCTCCGGGTGCTGAAAGTCCTGAGCACCAAGGACAGTGCGTGAGGCCCTGAGGTGGGAACGAGCTTGGCACCTTCAAGGCTTAGAGAGAAGCCTGTCACTGGGATGGTGGAGTGGATGGGAGGCTTGGGAGGACATAAGGTGCCTCCAGGAGTCTTGGAATGACTTATGTAGGAATGCAGAAGGCAGAGGCTGAGAGAATCACACTCCGCTCCAGGGAGGACCCAGGTACCTCAGGAGGCAGGAAATACCCTGGGCCACACCAGAGAGGCCCTCAGATTTTACAGCTCCAGGCTGAAGCTTCTACACTCCCCTGGGCCTCCTCTTGCTGATACAGTGTGGAACCCCCATTTCCCTGTTGAAGAAAATGTCTCCGGAGGCTCACTTCTGGCTCCTGGTCTGACTCTTCTCTCCAGCGGCCTGGTCTCATCTTCTAATAGTCCAAATAGCCACGACCAGACTCCTGGACTTCTTGTATGCCAAACTTCCAGAATCCTACCCTTAACCCCAGTGGGGCCGCACCTCCTAGGGAAATGAGTTCTCAGGGCAGTAGTGACGCAGAAATCACACATAGCAAAGTTGCCCTTGGAAACCCCCTAAGCTGTCCACCGAAATTGGTTCTGGTGTTGCAGCTCTTGCTAGAAATGCTCTTCTCCACTCTGAAGGCTGAAAACCATCCCACGAGGCTGAAGGAAGGAATGGAAAGGAAGATGGCAGGTAGCTCCTCTGGGAATCAGACCTGTCTGCTCTCAAGTCACCAACACGTTTTCCGAGGCCTACAGAGTTGTTCCTCATTCCAGCTTCTTGTTCTGTGCTGACCCCAGCCTCTGTAGTACAGATGTAGTCTCTGTGTGTAATAAACTGGAGCAGATCTGCGGTGGGGGGTTAACGTCAGTGTGGAAGGGAGAGTGAGACACTGGAGCCAGGCTGCCTGGGTTCAAATCCTGGCTCCATCACTTGTCATCTGTGTGGCCTTGGACAAGTTACATAACCTCTCTGAGCCTTGATCTCCTCTTCTGGAGACTGGAGACAGTGGCAGGGCCTACTACCCCGACTACTACGTGAGGCTCTTGGTTCTGTGCGTTGGTACACCCATAGTGCCTGGGTCAGTGCCTGGCACAGTATAGTTGCTCGGTATTTATTACATGAATGACTGAATTAAAATGGAGGACCCAGACGCCCCCTACCGCCTCCCACCTGGATCACTGGCCCATGAGCAAGCGTCAAGTCTTGTTCCACTGTGGTCTCTTGCTCCCACGCAGACAAGATGGGACCCAGCTTGGTATAGAGGAGAGGAGGCATTGGGACTGGGTGTGAAGTCTGGTGTATAAGAAAACCCTGCAGTTCTCCCTCTGTGTTTCTCCTTTACATCACACTTACAGTGCTTCTGACACCTGATGTGTGGGTCCTCAGCTTCCATTACTTTGCTGAAGTGACTCACGAAACTCAGGAAAACTGTTTACCTACTGTTTACCAGTTTATTATAAAAGGATATGATAAAAGATACAGGTGAACATCCAGATGGAAGAGATGTGTAGGGCAACTAGTGATTGGATGGGAGCTGCTCCAAGGAGGTTGTGACCTTAGGTGAGCCAGTTCCTGGGAGGGACTCAGCCATCAACAGCCAACACTCCAGCCCAGGGGCCCCTCTGAGGACAGATCCAGTCAGATTCTTCCCTGAATCTGTGCGCAGCCCAACGCCTGGCACAGAGTTGAGGCCCGGTTAGCATTTGGACAGAGTACCAGTGATGGCTCACGTGTGCATGGCCTGTCCCAGTCTAGGAAGGGGCCCACGTTCTCTCTCTCCCATGAGGATGTCTTCCTCATTCTTCCCAGATCATACCTGCCCAAGCTCAGCCTAATGGCTTGCTCGAGGGACACTGAAGATAATGACAACAGCTGACATTTCACAAGTGCTTCTGCTGTGTCATGACTCTAAGTGCTCCAAGTAGATAAACCCATTCATCACTCACAGCCACCCAGCAAAGTAGGTGTGGTTGTCTCTCCGACTTTTTAGATGAGAAAACCCAGGCACAGAGAGGCAGAGTAACTTGCCCATTGTTAACGCACCTAGCGAGGTCAATGCCAGGATTAAACTTCAACAGTCTCTCCAGTGCCTGCACACATAACCACCAGTGTCACCTCCCAAACACACAGACCTGCACGTGATGGGGGACCAGGGTGGGCCTTGAACCCAGGTCACCTCCAACCTATCCCAGCCCTGGAGCTGCACCGGGCAAGGAGGGGCTGGGAAGTTGTTCCAAAGTCTGACCTCATGTCCCCAGTGCCTGCTGTTCTCCAGACTCTGACACTTCTGGGTGACTGCTCACAGGTCCTCCTGTGTGTTATGTGGGCCTCGCGGGTGCTCTCCTTACTCATGCAGTCATCCTGTCTGATGGAGAACCAGGGGGCTGGGTCTGGATTAAGGGGCTGGGGCCACCCCATTGGGCAGCATCGCCTGGCACTGTCGTACGGGGCTGGGCCTCCCTGACGTGCCGCAGAGTTTCCAGTCTGAGAACCAAATCTTTAAGAGTCATTCTGGGCTCTCTTCTGACAATGGCCTGCCAGCCAGTAGGCACCAGCTGTGGATGTGTGGCCTTGTCTGGTTTTATCGTGTGCAAAATAGAACCAACAATGACTAACTATTGAGCATTTACTGTGGGCCAGAGATGAGCCTACATTTGTCTCTCAGTTTGATCCTCTCCCTAGTAACCTTATAAGGCAGACACACTTTTCATCCTCATTTTATAGGTGAGGCGGTTGAGGCACAGAGAGGTGAAGTAACTTGCCCAGGGTCACACAGCTGGGTCTCCCCCTGGTCAGTTTGGACTTGAGTCTGTCCAAGTCTTTAGCACCTCCACCCGCCCTCTAGGGAGGTTGAAGAATGAAATGAGATAATAATCGGAAAAGTCTTCTCCTGGTGGCGCAGGGCCCTTCATAACTCTTGGATAAATGATTTTTCGGAAGTAGAAAGCTGGTTGGATGGCTTCCCTAACTCTATGACGTTTGCCCTCCCCTGATGCCTGCAGGGACCCCTGACACCTCCCTCTCCTGTAAGCGGTCACACTGTGCTCTCTTGGGGTCCCCAAGAAGAAGAAGACCCCCAGGAAGGCAGGAGGTGCCTGGGGAAGTGGGAGACCCCCGGGTTGGGGGGAGAGCCCCAGGGAGGCAGGAGACCCCTGGAAAGACAGGAGATTCCTGGGGTGGCAGGTGGTGGCACCCTGAACCTAGACTCAGCTTTGATCCTGAGGAGGGTAGATAGAAGCTGAGGGAAACTGGGGAGACCCTGGGGTCTGACGGGCACTCCCTGACTGAAGGGTGTGTAGCCATGGATGGCCAGTGGAGGCCAAGAGAGTCCGTGGCCCCCGTGGTGTGAAGAACACGTGAAAACCTGGAGTGTCTAGGGTGTTAGCACCAGGGGGTCCCTAGAGGTCATCTCCTCAGTGCCTGCCTTTTACTGCACTTGTAACTGTGACCCAGGGACAGAGAGAGACTTCCCCAAGTCACTCAGCAAGTCAGAGGCAGAGGTGGGGCAGAAACCGGAATGTTCCAGGAGACCCTGCAGGCAGGAGTCGGTGTGCCCTTCAGAGTCCAAGAGGGAGCTCTGCAGCCTGCCATTCCCTGCAGTTCATGGTGCCCTCCAGGCCCTCGAATGCTGTCTCCTCTCCCTCTGCAGGTGAACCTGGTGCTGGGGGACGGCCGGTCCCTGGGCCTCACCATCCGTGGGGGAGCTGAGTATGGCCTGGGCATTTATGTCACAGGTGTGGACCCGGGCTCTGAAGCAGAAAGCAGCGGGCTCAAGGTGAGAGGCCCTGACTCTATGTGAGGAAGGGGGTGCCGGGCTGCATGCGTGGGGGTGAGGGAGGGAAAGACCTGTGTGTGAAGCTCTGTGTAGCTAATTTCAAGCAGACGTCCAGCAGAGCAGTCAGCACCACCCTAAGGATCAGTCCCAGCTGGGAGCCCTCCCCTGGCCAGTTCACAGCTCAGAGCGAGCAGCAGGAGCCGTCCCCCCACTTCTGCTCCCCGAGTTCTCCTAGCCATCCTCAGAGCGGGGCAGCCTCCCACATGGTGCTGGGCAGCAGGCCAGCTTGCGCTCTTGGTGGCTGCTGTTTTGCAAACATTGCTGATGGCCTGTGATGGCCCTGGCTTCAGGATTTATTGTGGTACCTGGAGAGGGAAGAGGAGGGAAAGCTGCCGGCTGGGGTGGGGTTGCACCGGGCAGCTCCAGGGCTGGCGTTCGATTCAAGGCAACAGCAGTTATTGAAATAATAGCATTAGTTCCTATTTTAAAGAAGGCGAACTGCGTGCCCAGCGTTTGTAATTGACTTCACTCATATCATCTCGTCGAACCTTATGCTGTCCCGTAGGGTGGGTTGTTATTACTTGCATTTTCTGGTTGGAGAAGCTGAGGCATGGAGAGGTTAAACAGACTTGCCCAAGGTCACACAGCCAGTGGGTTGCAGAGCAGGATCTGAGCCCAACAGTTTTGAATCCAAAGCCCACAGTCTTAACCGCTGCTGTGTACCCGCTGCTGGGGAGGGCCAGGAACTCGCTTAGAGCTTTGGGAGAGGTGACAGTGAGTGAGACTGCCCTCGAGGACACTGGACCCAGGACACAGATCACCTAGATAAATGGCAGCATGAGTCTGGGCTAAATCCTGGTGGCAGGGATGCCACGACAGCAGTGAGGTGGAGCGGTAACCCTGGGAACAGGTGGCATTTGAGCCAGGTCCTGTGGGATGAGAGAGGCTGATGGGTAAAGGGGCTGGGCTGCAGGAGTGTCTACTTGAAGGAGCCACATGGTTTGACCGTGTGTGACTAGGTGGGCAACTGGTGCCTGTGAGGCCTGGGGAACAAGCACAAGATGAGGGTATGTCTTCCAGGCAAAGGGCCTTGCATGCCTACTAATGGAGGGGAAGCTGATTCTCTGTGCCCACAAGAAGGCTCGTGGAGGATCCGAGGTGGTCAGGAGACCCCTTGAGCCACGTCGTGGTGGGTGAGGCTGGAGAGGCAGAGAGACAGGGCATCTGTCAGGGTTTCTCAGGAAACATGCACACTGGGAAGAGCCCTGGGGCTGGAGTCGGGAAGACCGGGCTCAGATCCCAGCTTGGTTGCTTTTGCTTTGGTAGCTGTGTGGCTCGGAGAGTCCCTGTGCCCCTCTGAGCTCCCCTTCCTTCTCCCAGGTAATAACAATAAATAGCATCTCTTTCTCAGGATGACTAAAAAGGAAAATATGAGGAACAAACTGACAAAATTAACAATAAAGGTTAAATTTATTGAGTGCCTGTGTTATAGGCTGAATGTGTTCCTCCCAAATTCATTTGTTGAAACCTTAACCCCCAACGTGGTGGTATTGGGAGGTGGGGCCTTTGCGATGCGATTAAATCATGAAGATAGAGCCTCATGAATGAGATTAGTGCCCTTAGAAAAGGTACCCCAGAGAGCTCCCTAGCCCTTTTTCTGCCTTGGAAGGATACAGTGATGTATCCAGCTGTTTGCAGCCCGGAAGAGAGTCCTCACTAGAACCTGACCACACCGGCACCCTGATCTCAGGCATCCAGCCTCCAGCAGCACAAGAAAGAAATATCTGTTGTTAATAAGCTACCCAATCTGTGGTACTTTGTTATACAGCCCAGGCTGACTGAGACAATCTGCTCTTTCCCAAGTACTTTATGTCATAAAATTACCTAAACCTCACAACACTTCTGTGAAAACAGTTCTTCTGTTAGCCCGCTTTACTGGCCCAGTATCTGGGACTCAGAGAGCTGCACAGCTAGTTAGAGGCAAAGCGGGGATTGCCATCCAGGATTTGAGATTCTGGTTCGAGAACTGTGCTCACAGCCAGGCCAGCTGGGCAGGTGGTAGATGCCCCACAAATGTTGGTTGGGTCTAGGTGGTTCTGAAATGCCCTGGGTCTCCGGCTTGCTATGCTCTCAGCCCATAAAGATGGTACCTCGTTGGAACTCCAAAAGGAAATACTATGGTATTCTGTATGCAGATTGTATTTAATAAATTTGTTGTTTTTAAATTAATTTTAGGCTTACTAAAAAGTTGCAAAGAGTTTACCCACTTATCCTTCATGTAACTTCCTCTAATGTTAACATCTTATATAACCATGGTGCGTTTGTCAAGACTAAGAAACTAACATTGGTGTAATACTGTTAAACTACAGTTTATTTGGAGTTTGCCAGTTTTCCCACTAAAGCCTCTTTTCCATTCTAGGATACAGTTCAGTTTAGCATAGTACATTGCACTTAGCCTATATGCAGTTTTAATTCCATTTATTTTTCCCCAAAATTTCAAAAAAGATTGAAGTCAGTTTCTAAACACTGAGTAAAGTTTTTTTTTTTTCTGAATGAGTAAGTGAGGAAATTTGGAGGAAGAAAACTGGGGGCAGAGGGAAAGAGATAAAGCTGTGGTGAGAGTCTTTCGCAGAATACTTGCCGTGTGGCATTGCAAACCTAGCTACAGGCAGCACACAGATTTGTATCTGAGCTTCCTGGCAGCCAACACAAAGAGGGAAGCAGGTCAGTGACACTTGTAAGATGAAAACAGACCAACTCTGCTGGAGAAGCCTCGTTATTCCCTTCCTGAGGCTTGAGAGCAGTTTTCCACTGGTCCTCGTTAGAGAGGATATTGTGTGATGACATAAGCAGTGTCTTCAGTGACAGGAAGTGCATGAATAGGTTCCATACTTTGTTGAAGGTGAATACATTCTTATTGAATCCATGGTAAGAGAAAGAAGGAACGTCGGAGAGAGGTGACAGATTCTGGGCAGAGAGGCTTGAGCACCTCTCTGTCCTCTCTCTCTTTTTCCCACCACTGCCTCGCCCCCATCACTGACAGGTGGTAGCTTCTATTATCATGTTATCCACTTATTAAGCACTTGCTATGTCAGGCACTGTGCTAAATGCTTCACATTATCTACTAATGCAGCAGTGTATGAAAAAGGAATGTTCTTATCCCTTTTTGACAGGGGGCAGATTCAGGAGCAACGGTAAGCAGCTTGCCCAAGGTCGCCCAGCTAGAATGGCTAGATTTGAAGTCTCACCTGCATGTTCCAAGTCCATATTCTTAACCACTATGTTCCATCCCTTCCAGGGATAATGTAGGTGTTACTGTCACCAGTTTACAGCTGAAGAAACCAAGGCTTATAGAGATAAAGGCCAAATTCTTTCTAATGTAGCTGGGATTTGAACCCAGGCCTGATAGAGTCTGGGGTTGCCCTGTTGTAGGGGAGGACAGGAGGCCTAGGACCCGCCCTGACCAGCTGTGTAAGGGTGGACATGTCCTCCCCTCTCTGGGCCTTGGTCAGCCTGCTGGGACAGTGAGCAGTTGAACAGTTGGGCTAGCAGATCTCCAAGGATTTCTCCTAGATCTGCACATTTTCCTGGCCAGCAGGTGCCCAGGCACCAGGAACATGCTCTGTTCTCTTTCACCTACAGGTTCCTGTACCTTCAGAGAGATGCCAAAGTAGGTAGCCCACTGGCAGATCCCTCTTTGGTGGGAAGGAGGGGAGGGAGGGGAGGGAGGGAGGAAGGGAAGGAAGGCGAAGGGAAAGG